TTCAGTAAGAGCTGTGTGTGATGGTGATGGTGACATGAAGACGAGGTGAGGGGCAGAGGTGACACCTGTCCCAGTCCCTGGGTTAAAAGAGGCCATTTCCACATTTTAGCCATGGCAACATTCATAAAGGGAATGGGGACAGGTGGCATGGTGGTCAAGGCTCTGGGTCCCACATAGCTGACTGCATAGTCCTGGACCCAGCAACTTGAAAAAGAACATGCTGGACACGTGTGTGTGCCCAAAAGCCCGAGAACGGAGGAGAAGGGACCGTGGTGTGGCCATTTCCCCTGGGGCGCGATTTCTCACTTTCTCTCTCTGGTGACTGCATGTACCCTATGGCAAAAACCTGGAATAAAATAAAACCGAGATTGAGGCCTGGGATAAGAGTGGTAACAGCTGTGGCAACCCGTCCCGGCGCCTGGCACGCAGCACCTGACCTGCTGGCACCGTGAGGCCAGGTCTGCCACAGCTGCCTCATCTCACTGCCCTGAGGAAGGGGCCATGGTGGTGACCCCAGGTTTGGAAGCAGCCACAAGCAGGTAAATGTCCTGCCACCATACTCAGAGCCATGGCCCTGACCTGCAGTGTCCTCAAATGGGCCTCCCATCTGGCAGTTCCAGGTCACCAAGGGGCACTGCACGGCAGGCAGGCACAGGCTCCGTGACCCAAGCCCCCTCTGGTCTCCCCAGAACGTGGCTTCCCTTGTCCATGGGGCAAGGCTTCCGTCTGTCCGTGGCCAGTCTGGGTCCCATCAGGACATGAGCCACTTCCTGGGCTACCGGGAAGTTCAGTAGAAAGGGCCATTGCCTCTGGGAACAGAGGATCTGACCATAAGGGGACCCCGGGGCGCCCCAGGGCTGAGGGAGCAATCCGGGAAAGCACAGAGGCAGGGAAGGTGTTGAGTCTGCAGGGCACTCAGGTACTCGCTGTCAGGGGAGCCCGAGTCACTCTGGAGTAGCAGGCAGCTGCCGGCCACCCCGAGCGCAGGATCAGCCGCCAGTGGGGACAGGCAGCCCGGGTGTGCAGGCCATGCACGTGGGGGCTCTGGGGAGGTCATGGCCAGGCTGAGATCCAGTAGAGAGGGACAGCATTCTGGGCCCAGGACTGGGTGGACTGCGCTGGACACCCACCGCCCACCCAGGCTGGCAGCCTCACAGGCCCCTCCACACCCTCAGACAAAGCCCACACTGCTCTTGATTCGGGGAATGGCGGGAGGAGCATGGTCAGGATAGGCATTGGGGGCACCAAACTGCCAGCTCCAGCACTGCCACCGCACCTGTCCCTCTGTAGACCCCCTCAATGGCTTTGTCATTGCTGGGCCCCCATGCAGCCTGCTGTGCCGGGCGTGGGGCCTCTCTGCTGCGGCGGGCTCCCCATACTCCTGCCTGGCACACACTGACTTAGGTACTCCGTGCCTGCGACACCTGGGTCACAGCCCACTGGAGAGAGTGGGGCAGCACCGGGGAGACAGTCCTCGTGGGCCCCTCCTCGCCCCCTACCCTAGAAGTTCCCACTCCCAGGAACCTGAGGGGTCCAAAGACCACGGTGTTGGCTGGCACAGGTCTGGCACTGTCAGTTGCTGACGTGAGGCTGAGACCTGGGTCGATTTCTCGTTCAAACCCAGGACTGAGAAGCAGCAGGTCCCTCCCTGGGCTGAGGCCAGGTGCAGAGTCGGACCCCCAGGGCTCCCTCTGTAGCACACCAAGGGCGTGTGGGGACGTTGCTCTCTCCCTGGATTATAGCGAACCTCTCAGTTCAAGGTCAGTGCTTCCGGGGCAGAGGCAGAACTGGGACACGGTTTCCAGAGTGTTTCTTCCGACCCGTCTGGCCAATGTCCCCTGCCTGCAGCTGGAGCTGTCCTGCTGCTGCCCGTGTGTTTCAGAGCAGCTGTGGCTGGCACTGCCTCTTGTCAGGCTGCCTGGACGGGTCCCAGTCAGAGGCCCTTGGCCAGGGTGGTGCCATGTGCCAGGCTTGGCACCAGCCAATAGGCCCCAGCCCAGGAGAATCCAGGCAGAGAGCGTGGTGGGGGTTTCCAGGGCAGTCTCCTGGGGCCCAGTTGGTGGCACATGGTAAAATGCAGTGTTCTGCGAGGTGGACCCACATGGGAGGTTCCAGGTTCATGTCCAGAAGCCTCCCTGGGTACTCCAGGCATACATGCGTGCCCGTGATCAGGGCTGGCTGGGGTGGGGCAGGGCAGGTGGATCGCAGTGTGGAGATCCTCCCAGGGCTGCACCAGCGATGACCGAGTAAACGAACACAAACAGTCTCCCCACCACCCGGGGAATTCAGACCTTCTCTCTGCCCACTAGGGGCTCCGTGCCCCGAGTCTCATCCCTCCTCTGGGTGTGCGCCGCCCTGGCCTGGTTCACGGAGCTCAGCCCGTCTGCCGCGGCAGGCTGCCCCCCCCCCCCCGCCCCCTGGGGGGCC